TGTTTTGACTTCAGTAAATCAGTTTTGGCAAATACAAACTACGTGATTATTTTTCATGAGTCCAACATCCAGCCGCGCAAGCAAACATGCAATCTACCCGAGACGTGATCAATCAGGGAAGCCGTCTTTTATTGCAAAATAGAGAAATAACAATTTACATTTAAGTAAAATGTAAGCTTCTTAACCTTGTAGTCTTATTCTCTTACTCTTATTCGTAAAACACAAAATGACCAATAGTGATATAGCTATGCTGGCTACCTACAAGGACAGCTAGGGTCGATTTCGTTAGCTAACGACACATTTGACTTACCCTTCCAGTGATGACATAGCAGGTTGAATATTCATCAAAAAATTAGATTGCGTCCATTTGTACCCCTCCAGGCTTTTGTAGGCTTTTAAAGAGTTTTTTGAAAGTTGATGAGGTACTTGTAGATATCAGGATACTGGTCAGGAAATCTATCCGTTACTTTATTGATACACCTTAAAAGCACCACGGGGGCATTATAGGGATCCGTTATGCTATGTACAGGTCTAGTCTTTTGAATTAAAGTACGCAGTGAACTGTTGCCTTGAAACTCATGCTGGTGCCATTCATTTCATATTCGCTCGCTCCCGGCTGTCCATGCCTGCCAGCATGGTGGTGTAAACAGAATGGGTCACGCGACGTCCGGAGAATGAGAAGTGCCGTAAGCTGAATCCCACCTGTCGCAAAAAGTCAGTGACTTCTCTTATAAAACTGCTTTTTTGCGTGTGGTAAACTCTAAAAATAGTTCAATCCAAAAGTATTATTTCATGTAAAACATGTTGAAGATTAGCAGATCGGCTGTCGATTCATTAAATGATAAGCCATTTCCTTTAAAAAGCTGTTTATTCAGCGTAGTGAAACCTCTCCTCCGTTGACATCCATTAAAAAAGGGTCTCTGGTCTCCTTTCTCATTTACTGCCAGACCGGAAGCGTTAGATTTAGCCGTTACGCTTTTTCGGCTAATGGTTGGTTGCAGGCTTGCCTTCTAGTGGCTTTGGCAGGATTCCGCTGACTCATTTTGGCGCGCCTCCTGCTGGTCAGGATAAGAAACTTACCTGAATGTCATGCTTATCTACGAGGACAAGGCTGACTTGTTCCAAAACACAAATACGCACTGATTTATTGAGTTGTCTGAACATTTGAAACGACTAAAGTAAACACGTACAGAATCGTTTATTTTGGAAAAAATATTTAAAATACGCACTGATTTATTGAGTTGTCTGAACATTTGAAACGACTAAAGTAAACACGTACAGAATCGTTTATTTTGGAAAAAATATTTAAAATACGCACTGATTTATTGAGTTGTCTGAACATTTGAAACGACTAAAGTAAACACGTACAGAATAGTTTATTTTGGAAAAAATATTTATTGACATGAAATTTTGCTTTTTGGATTACGACGTCTCAGATAATAAGAAATCATGCATACATGCATACCAGCAGATGGCACCGACTAACTGATTATTTGCATTAAAATGCTACATAATACAAGCAATCAGATCACAAAAGTGTTTAAAGAATCACCCACCACCAATTTCAGGATTTAGGCCTAAAACATAGTAGAACTGTACATGCTGTATAAAAAGTGATGACCACACAAAGTTAGTTTTAACCTTCATTTTGTTTTAAGTTTTAAAGTGTAAATATCCAAGTTAGCACTTGAAATTAAATTTTCCAACAGAACATTTTAGGCATCTTTACACAACTGAGTTAGGGCTGTTCTGTGCCTGCTCAAAATTGTGTGTAAAGAGTCAAGACATAATGCTGCATAAAACTAAAGACTAAATTAAGCCGGCTCTGACCTACCTCAGCTCTTAATACCAAGCATACAATTGTATTTGCTGTGTAAATGCATTTATGCCACCTCTGAGCAGCATTAAACTGTGTAAATGCCACTTCAGAAGCACCTCTATGCCAGCTTTGCAGTGTAAATTTGGTAGGAATTCCAGGATATTTCAAATCAAAACAAGACACAATACAAACACATTATTATGATTTGAAAATCAGTAGTGTAGAACAAGAAGTACTATTCACTGTGGTTTTCACAAAAGTGTTTATACATTTAAAATGAATTGTATATTTTACCAGCTGACTTTGTAGCAATACACGCCATGTTTTAAATGCTTTGGAGGGAAGCCAAAACTGCGCACCCCTGGTTCTGATGTACCACAGTTCATCCTGGGTTGGATGATTGGGTAACGTACACTACCGTCAGCCAACCAGCCTGCATCACACTGGTCCAATCCCACAAACCTCCAGGCTGCGTATAACTGGCCAACTTTAGCAATACGACCTCCATCGCTCTGACAAGCCTCCACCGCCTCTGTGAAATTTAGTTTGATGTGATGTTGCAGGAAGTAGACCTCTCCTGACATTGAAGAAAGACATAAAGTAACTTGTCACATCATATTTGGCAACTTAAAAATAAATACGACTTAACCTCAGAAATGAATGCCAATAATTGACCCAAGGTAACAAAATAGGACTGGCATATCAAGGCAAACAGCTTTAAAACATATGCATGACTGATGAAAACAAGGAAGAAGGCCATTTTATAATTAATCCTTGTTGCCAGGTTCACCCAACTTGTCATCCTCAACTTGGCGTTACTCCCCTGGACAGCCGACACTAGAGTTTCAGGAGACTCAACGTGAAGACGGATCTTGTGGAAGTAGACTAAAAAGAAACATTAAGTAAGTGAATAAACTCTTCAAAGAGAGTAAAGTAGGCTATTATTTGTTATATTGTAGGCTATGTTTGTTTGTTCAACTATGCAAAAGGGAATTTTTTATGGATTTGTGATAGAGTTCACATTTTTGTGATGTCTTAACCATCCTAACTGTATATTAAAACTATGTTATTACCAGTGTTGGGAAGGTTACTTTGGAAATGTAGGCTAATAGGTTACAGATTCCAAGTTACCTATTTAAAATGTAATAAGTAGCCTACTGTAACTATTTCAGTTACTTTATTAAAATAATGTAACTAATTACATTTGATTACTTTTTGATTACTTTTCTAAAATTAGAATGTTTTAGCTGTTCATTCATCATTTAATGTTCATCATTTTCAAACATTTAAATCAGGCAGGGTAAACATTACAGTACTCAACACTCAAAATCCTTCATCATTTGAATAAAAATTATAATAATTTAATTTTAAAGCACAGCCACCACAAAATCGGACTTTAGTCACACTTCTTTTTACTTAGAGATTGTTCCGAGGTTAAATAGGCTACAGATTTAAAATCATAAGATATAGTTTAATAGTTTTGATTTTTTTAAATCAAATCTTTGTATAGCTACAGCTGGTAACACTGGCATCTAACAATGTCTTGGAAAAAAACAGTTAATCTTAAAATAATAAAGCATATACATAAACCCAAATAGGAAATAAAACAGTTATCAAATAAGCATGTGTCCTATTCTCCTAAACTCCTGAAACATTGGTGTCTCATATTTTAGAGCAGTCACTGCAATTTATGAAAGAAATCAATTAAATCTGTATATGTGTGTGTGTGGGGGGGTGTGTGTGAGAATATTCAGATGTAACCCCCTTTGTAATTGTTAACATTTTTATAAGTAACTGTAATTTAATTACACATTTTTTTCTCAGTAACTGTAACTGATTACAACTACATTTATTTTGTAATGTTATTTTGTATGTAGGCTAACTATAGTTACTCTCCAACACTGATTATTACTATAAAATATATACTGTATAACTATAATTCCCACTGAGTTTATAACAAATATGCTTGTTCAGAAATTTTAAACAATTAAAAAATATATACAAAAACATTACAATTTATATAAATTTTATTCTATGATGTGACAAAAGTTAGAATGTTGTTGAATTCTACGTAGGCTGTCATGCTATAGTATCAGCAAGCTAGCTTTTGTTTGCTGGTTTGTTACAGTATTTTGCACACATGAAAACATGAAATTATTAGGCTAACTTACTCTCCCCATTGCCATTTCCATTTCCATTAACTATGTCCTGATAGTAATAGCATTCTATGATGTGACAAAAGTTAGAATGTTGTCTAATTCTACGTAGGCTGTCATGCTATAGTATCAGCAAGCTAGCTTTTGTTTGCTGGTTTGTTACAGTATTTTGCACACATGAAAACATGAAATTATTAGGCTAACTTACTCTCCCCATTGCCATTGCCATTTCCATTTCCATTAACTATGTCCTGATAATAATAGCCGTTGGAGAATCGCTGTGCAAGGCTTCCGAGGACCAGGTGCATTAAAAGCACCAGCAGATGGCGTAAAATCCACATATTCACGATGATTCCCTGTATCCCACAGCTTTCCAGCAGCGTCCTTGAATTTTAAAACAACCCAAGATGAGTAAAGATCAGCAAGGAGTTCAGCAATCAAATATAACCCAACATATATTTAGCTTTTGGCACTTTTTAAGTCTGATTTATTAAAAAAAAAAAAAAAGTTTGACTTGCTCGCCATAAACAACATAATCATCAGATAGGCTAGCTATTCTACAAGAACTGCATTAAGTTGCTGGTTAAACGATTGTAGAAGCGCAAGTCAAAAGAATACAACTAGCTATACAATTAAGCCACATAAAAAGTAGTTTAACGACTATGGTAAAACGTATGTAATAAAAAGTTATCAAATTTATACAAAAACAGGTTTAAAGTCGCAAACGCGTTTGTTGTTGTCAACTAGTTAATTGTGGCATGCAAAGAGTCTGCTAATATGCACATTCATTAAATAATAAAAGCATTTTCGCAACTTACCAATGTAAAATACGTTCTCAGGCTCTTTTTGCTACAACTACTCTGTTCATCGTCCGAGATGAGGAATAAAAGCTCTCTCTCTCTCTCTCTGTGTAATAACATTGTGGGACCGTGAGGTGACGTCACTCAGGCATCTCCTTTGAAGTTCTCCAGCTCGCGAACAATAATAATTGTGGGGTCTACAAAGCAGTCGAGGGCTGCTGTCCATCATCACGGTATAATTTTACAGCATAAGGTGTGTTGATAATTTCCCAAAACTGAAACTAGAGCTTGTGTTCACGGTGCCAGCGAGAATATATTCCACCCAGGTCTCTTGTTACGAGGGTTTGTCACACAAAAAACAACAATTCTTAATGGCCTCAGAGGCTGCCTGGCCTAATAACACAGTTGGTAATAATAGATTGTCACATACCTATTTTTCTTTTACATTCCGAATGTACTGTGTTATAAATTATGTCCTTTTAGGTAGAAAACAAACCCTAAAATCTGTACAATAAAAAAATATTAATAGTATGACCGGATATTTTTACAGGCGTTAAAATAGAACAAAAAATTACCTCTGCATATGAAATTACACACCAGAAACATGACTTGACCTTTGACCGAAGTCTCAAAAAAGATTACTATGGGAAAGTCAGCGGTCGAAATTCCTCTTCTCCTCAGCGAAAAGCCCCAAAGTGTGCTAATTTTCCAAAGTCAATAGCAGAGGAAAGTATCCATAGCCTTGCAGATGTGAAATTTTCCTCTTACTCGTGACCGCCAGGGATTCAAACGTTTGTTGTTCTCGGTCAGCACACCTCTGTGCAGCAGCCAGTAGCTATAGTGTTCATCTTTTATCTCTCTCTTCCAAAATTCTGACCTTTTGTCCCTGTTATTTAGCGATACAGTTGATGTAAATTCTAAATCACAATATTTAAAGAGGAAAAGACTGGTAGGCGGCCTTTGGAGGGACCAGGATGTTGTACTGACAGAATCACTCAATATTATGACCCCAAACTGTGCCACCCTTTCTCTTTCTCGGTCACATTTACTTTTGTTCGGCGAATTTTCTCAGGCAAAATCCAGTCATTTCAATAGAAATCGACACAGGGAGGCATTTGTTCACATCATGTTCAAGTTGCTTACGTGAATTCACCATATTGACCAACAAAACGCTGCTTGGTTTGAAAGTAACTTCTATGTGAGCTGTTCTTCATCATACATCATGGACACTTTAAAAGGCAAGAGTGAGCACATTTATATCGTCTCTCTCACAGATGCTCACAACATTAGCGATGCATTTGAAGATCCCCGTCAATTAGTCCCCACAGCCAAGATGAAAGCCGTCGCCTTAGGCAAGGAACGCCGAGACCCTTTGAATAGCTGTGGGCTTCACAGAAGCATGATTTTGGCAGCTATCGTTTGGAAGAACATTGTACTCTATAATTGTTTGCCCAAAATGAATGGGTCCAAAATGGCTGGATGTAAAGGTTTTAGATTCTCCTGACGCACTTGTCAGTAGTTACTGCAGCCTGCCTGAGAAAAAAAACTCTCTTCATTTTAAAAGGTTATTGGAAAATGATAAATTTTTTAGATTTTAAATATTATATCACATAAATAAAGTGTTTAAATGTTAAATAGCTGCACTGTGCATTTTCCAGAAAAATGAATACATTTTAAAAGTAAAATGTTTTTGAAAGATGTTTCTTCTGCTTGCCACTGTATTTAATAAAGAAAATAATAAAACTGTAATATTTTGATTTTTTTTTTTTTAATGTAGTGAATTTTCAGCATCAGTACTCCAGGCTTCAGTGTCACATGATCATTCATAAGTTAATATGCTGATTTGCTGCTCAAGAAACATTTATCATCAATATTTAAAATTGTTTTGTGTCTTTCAAGATCCTTTGATTAATAGAAAGTTCAAAATAACAGCATTTAACTGAAATAGAAATCTTTACTTAACCTTTGTTGATGCATACCTCCTGAATAAAAGTATTAATTTCTTTAAATAAAAATAAAATGAACAAAAAAGGTACTTATCCCAAACTTCCAAACAGTAGTGAATCTATATAAAGTTTTTTTTTTCTTTTACAGACATGTACAGTATATGAGGGACACAAATGACACTCGATGTGCAGAATCAGTGGCATATTTTTTATTACATTTTTTTAAAAGGGTGTTTCTTTGAGATTGTGTTCCCTATGAATAACTGCACTGAAAGGGCTTGAACAATATATGTAAGTGCTTCCAAACATCATCTTCTGAATGACTGTATGCGTGTGAATGAATGGAATTCAGCCACACAGTTTTGTGGGTTTTTGATTTATTTATGTTGGCAGTTTCCATCAAAAAAGCTTGCAGTGAAACTCTAGTAATACTTCTTTTTATACTGATGATTTTGACAGTGAGGGTGAATTTTAAAAATGTTGACCCAGTTTACAACCCCTCATAAACTTGTCAAGCAATGAGGCGAACGAGGCGAGATTTCCTTTGTAGAGATGTTATTAGAAAGCAAAGAATGTTTGCTCCTGACAAAATATTTGCCACAATACCTCATCCAAAATAGCCTTGTTTTTACAGAAAAGAATCCTTCCTGGCTTTGCCCATTGGGTGCTGCTGTTTTCCTGCCATTCTTTAGACTATCACTTGATTCTCTTCTGCCTTCCTGCTTTGAGCCTCTAGAGCCCTGTATATTAGTGTGTCCCAGTCAATCAGAACTAAAGGGAGTTTTGTATTAAGGGCCCATTTGGCAAAGATACAAATAAATGATAATAATATAATACAATTCTCAAATATTTTTTTTCAATATACACACTTAAAATAAAATATTAAACGTGTTATTAAAATAATTATTTTTAAATATATTTCATTGTTATTTTATACTATTATTAGGGTACAAATAAATACATAAACACACACATAATACAATAAAATAATAAAATCCTATTTTTTAAATTATATTATTATTTTATATATTATGTTCATTATATTATTATTACTGATATCATTATTAATAATTCTATTATGATAAATACATCATTATAAAAGATAATATTATTTGATATGAAAAATATTAATATTTTATATTTAATTTGTGACTTTTTTTGTGGTTAATAGAAGCCTAGAGAATGTTGATGATTTCCAGTTTGTTTAGTTGGGGAAATATCCAAAGATTTGAACTTTTTTTTTTAATAAAAGCATATTATGGAGGTTTCATAACAAGACACAACATGCTTGATAGGCCATAAGTATCTATTATATTCTTTATTTGTTTCTACAGTTGAAAACATGAGGAAAATATTTCAAGAAATACTAAGGAAATGCGTGGTCTAAACAATCTGAACACAAGAAGAGTGCTACAGTATGAGGCATTAAAAAATGACAAAAGACAAAACGTTTAAGAGCACACTGAATAGAAATAACAAAGTCAATATGTCTTTACTGCAATGAAAACAACTCTCTGAGAAAAATCAAATGCTAACATCAGTACAGAATCCATACCAGAGAAAATCAAAATGCATGCAGCCTAAATGCAGAGATCATGCTGGATTATTAGAATATTCTTCAGTGTTTGTTACCACTTCAATTCTTCTCAGAAAATATCTCAGAGAAATACTGCCCATATATTTTCTCCTAAAGCTCTATTAATATTAATTAATATTAATACTCGTATCATATTGCACAAGCCCAAAATTGTAAATTTATTCGAGTGGATGGGTTGAGGGGGAGGGGGTCACAATGCATCATTTTGAAAACATTATGTAGATTGGATGGTCATATCAGAGATTCAGTGCCACCGTAAAAATTATTCTAAATTAGATTTGCACCCATCCTGAATCTCATTATGCGACCAAGCTTGTGACAGGGTACGTCAAAGCTTATAACGCAAGTGTGGCCCCATTGTAAAAAAATATTACACATTTGCTGACATCATAATAAGAAAAACATGAGACCACTTTGGCTTTTAAGTATTTTTGTACTATAAAAAGGTGGTTTATTACAGAATTATGATGTAATAATTTTTTTTTTTAATTCAGTAGCACACTGCAAATGATTGAACTGCACCTGAGATCCATTCAAATTAAACAAAAGTGATCAAAAAATAAATGATTGACTGTCACATTTTATACTTAGGTAAAAAATGCATTAGCCTAGTTAAAAAAAATGTAATTGATTTAAACCAAATATTTTATACAAGAAACAAATGATCAAATGGCTACTTTCATTACATAATATACAAATTAGCATAAAGCACAACCATATTTTGTGACTTCATCACTTGCTAATTTAAACTACTTCATAAGATAAGATATAAAACAGCTTGACTGCATTTACAACCAATCTAACACACTGATTCCTGTGTAAATAAATAAATTGTGACTTATTTGGTATGTACAGTCTTTTTTCCAATTGATTGTAATTGAGTTTGAGTTTTATCTGACAGAAAACGAAATAAAATTGTTACAACTCATTTGTAACACAATAAAGTTCTAAAAACTTAAGCTATTTCCTAATATGGTCATCTAGGGTAAATAAACAATAATAGACATTAGCATTGACTTCATCTTCAAATGGCCACTGCATCAGACTATCTTAAGTACAAAATATTTAATGCTAAACGCCTCACGCTGTGAGTTTGAGCTTCATTTGCTGCTGGCCACTGTGACATGGGTCCCCAGCTGTGCAGGGTGGTGTGGCGATGGTGCCCTCTGTTGCTAAGAGTGAGGCGGTGCAGGCGTGGTTGAGGGAAGAAGGAATGGAGGCAAGTATAAAAGAGGAGAAGGAGAGAGAGGGAGAAGGAGAGAGAGAGAGATGGAGAGGGAGAGGGAGGAGTTCTACTCATCGCAGCCCAGCAGCTCCATTCGCAGGGTGATGCGTTCATGCCACGCCCACGGCAGGATGCGGACCAATCGTGCGTAGAAGGGGGGCTCAAACACGTTCTTTTTGTGCACGTTGTTGTCGCTGTTGCCAGGGAAAATCTGCAGGTGAAGCAGAAGGAAATAAAGATGGGGTGAGACAAGGACGTGACAGACGGATAGGGGGGGGAAAAAGCAGAATGTACACAAGATGTGCGGCCAGTTGAAAAGATGTGGGGG